ATTTGCACATTTTGGGTGGAATTTATTCTACAAAATTTTGAGATGTCGTCATCAGTTTTTTGGGGGACCTAAACAGATATATTTTGATCAACAATTTACCATGCTTCAATAACTTGAAAACGGCTGCAAGATTTCAAAATATTCAGTTTTGCTATTCTTGATTCATTCAATAAAATAAATTGACTGATTCATTAATTTTTTGGAGTCACCCTCTATAAGCAAAGCTAAAAAATATGAATGCAGTGATAAATTACAATTATAGATTGATCATTTTAGATAGGATTTATTCTGCAAAATTTTGAGATGACGTCATAAATTTTTTGGAGTTGATGAACAGATATATTTTGATAAATAATTTACCATTCTTTCATAACATCAAAACGTCTACAAGATTTCAAAGTATTGAGTTTTGCAATTTTTGATTTAATCAATAATTTTTTTGAGTCACTTGTATAAGTAAGTCCAAAAAATATGAATGGAATTGTGGGTATCGGTGGGGATTTTAATAAGAAATAGCGACGGTCACGGTTTTCAGATTTTTATTAGATGCTTACGGGTTGAGAGCTCGAGGAAGAAAAAGGAATGGTGTTTAAAAATTGTCGACACGTAGGTTCGGTTTTGGAGAGGTGGAAGAACTTAAAGAAAGCGTTTAGAAAATTCTAGAAACTGAAAGAGAAAGTTGGACCATAGGGCAGGTAGACGAAAGATAGGATAAGAGGAAGGATAGGATTTGCACAGAAATTTACATAAATATCACATGTATTCAGGTATATTACGTGTTTTTGGAGCAACTGTTGTTCCCAAATATAGACTCATCATATTTTGGACTTTTCCGAAAGGATTTATTCGGCAACATTTTGAGCTGACGTCATCAATCTTTTGGAGGGGATAAGTAAATAATTTTGATTAAAAATTTATCATGATTATCATAACTTTATAACGTCTGCAAGATTTCAAAGCATTCCGGTCTGCAGATTCAAAATTAAATTGCAAAATGTTGCTTTATAATTTTGATTCTTTTCCCAAAAATCTGGACGTTTCGATAAAAACTCAACACGGCTTCATAAACTACATGTTATTTTATACATTTTAAAACCCATTTACTATGTACAATTGTGAAATGATATCATCACGTTATTGGTGAGGATGATTAGGCAAATTTCGGTTAGCGTTATACCATCTACATGACGTTCCTAATATAAATACAAAATTTGACAACAATTGTCCCAGTACTTTCGGAGATTATCTGTCTAATAAAAATTTGGGACGGCAGCCAAACGGACAGACAGACACACGGAAACAGGAGACCTATTTCTTCCTACTGTAGGGGTCATGAAAGCTCGAAAAAACGTAAAAGTAGAGAGTCGGTCGACGGACTCGATTACAATTACAATTACAAAAATTATAAGACGTTTCTGTCAGTAATAGCGTTCGAAACATGTCAAAATCGCCTTAGAATTAGAATTCAGGTTGGTTTACAGCCTGCGAGTGATGAAATGTGAGTTTTTAGCAACAGTAGCATACAGTTTGAAAAGTCTAGTCTTAAATTCCAGGACTTCGAATTACTTTCACTTATAATACAGTCACAAGTATAGTAATCGAGTCTATCAAGCAACTTGCTACTTGCATGTTTTCTTGACGTTTCATGACGTCTAGAGTACGAAAAATTTGGTCTCCCGGTTCCGTCTCTCTGACGCCTGACTCTCCAACGTCTGTGTTTTTTTTTATTAGACTGATAATCTTCGAAATTACCGCACCAATTGTTATCAAATTTTATACTTATGTTAAGAATATTGTGTATATTGCAAAACGCTGACCAAAAGTTGATTAATCATCCCCCCACCAATGGGATGACTGACAATCCAAAATTTACAATAGTAATTTTATAAAATACGATATTCCTGCAGTTGTGGTGTATGAATTCGTACTGCGTTTTCACACTGGACATCGAGATTTTTGGAAAAAAAAAATTAAAATTGTATATTTTGTAATGTAAGTTTTAACATGCAACACACAATTGTTATATAATTTTGATTTTTCTTCCAAAAATCTGGTCGTTTCGGGTAAAAACTCAACACGGATTCATAAACTATACGTGTAGGACTATATTATTTTACACAGTTTAAACCTATTTACTATGTACAATTTTGAGGTGTCATCATCACATTGTTGGTGGAGATGACTAGACAAAGTTTGGTTAGCGTTTTACCATCAACATGATATTCGTAATTTACTTACATATAAAATTTGACAAAAATCGGTCCACTAGTTTCGGAGAATATCTGTCTAACAAAAATCCTCACGGACGGCGGACAGATACACACACGGAAACGAGAGATCCATTTTTTCGTACTCTGTGGGTCATAAAAGGTCGAGAAAACGTAAAAGTAGAGACTCAGCCGACGGACCCGTTACAATACTTCCTTACATTTTGAAAATAAAAAGTAAAATTCGCAAAATCAAATAATTTTCAAAAAAGCTGGAGTTGTATTGTACTTCAGGGGCGAGGAAAGTTCTCTTGAAATAACCTTCGACCGATTTTTGTATGTATTTCTAGGATGATGTCTTGCTATTCCTATAAAAAAATTGGAGCCATTTTGCAATTTTTACCAAAAATTTCCAAAAAATTCAGTAATATAATTAAACACTTTCTTTGAATGATCGTACGAAATCAAGATGTCTAATTTGGTGTGAAATAGCTATATACGTAAAAGAAGATAGCTTGTGTATAAACTTGACAACACTGTTGGAGGTAACAACAAACTACGAGTACCCACTCATATACGTATATGGAGGTAAGAACGCCTCTTTTGTATATCTTATGTATATCTTATATATGGCCTTTTAAAATACTAGAAATCGTTTCCCCTCTTTTGAGATTCGAATAGTAGAGGTTCCCCTCATTCCAAATATATCACATATATGACGCTAGCCGAAGGGGGTAACCCGGAGGTCAGGTCGTCTGTTCCATATGTCGGAGGTAACAACTTAACAGGTATCAATATATATATATATATATATACATATTGTATGTACTGTTTTGACGTGTGTAAGTACTTTGTACATATAACATGAATAAAGATTATTATTAATATTATTATTATTATTATAAATAGTCTCGCGTAAGACGTTGCAAAAAATTTCAAAGTTGGTATAACATCATTATTTGAAATCAAATTATTCCAATTGGTAGTGAAACAGTAGTTATTGATTTACTACAGCCAGCATTTTTAAAGCTAAATTTGTGTAATAAATTGTTATAGAAAGGTATATGAACAGAAGACCAAGGAAATTTAGTGTTGAAAGGTGGATAATGTGCGTCTACATTGGTCACAGTGATGTAACTGTCTTTGAAACTTTCGTATTTAATACATTTGAGGGTACGAGACTCGGTTGTAGAATAGATAGGTTGATACACTAGCGCATAACGGTGTATCCCTGGTCAGCGACGCTAACTGCCGATCGCGTCGCCTGGTTTTAGCGGACCAAGGCAACTGATTCGATCTTAAAATGTGTGGCAAATAGTAAGTTTTATGAAATAAAAATATGTCTCTGTCCTTCTTACGCTCTGGATTTTTGACACCCGGTATTTTTTGCTTCTAGTATGGCGACCCTGTTACTGTCATTTGGCTGTCCATTGTCTTGCTGGTAACACGCCTTCTACGACTGTTTCCAGGTTGCCGGTGACGCTTTCTTGTTATATAGAACTGGAGTTAGCTTTGTGACTGGAATACTGTTCTTTTAGGTCTGTTGACTCGAAAATTCTGGTACAATTTGCCGAAACCTCAAATCGTAAACACAGCAAGCTTTCCTTGACAGTTCCTACATGGATGCCAAACATTTGATAAAGAAAATTACTAGTCTCGAGCTATCTTTGTCTAGCACATAGGTTAGATTCCTCTCTGTCGAACTCCGGGCACAGGTAATTCGCCGTACTTTCTAAAAGTAATAATAGATCTAGTGACTTTAAGGGAACCCGGATTATATGGACATCTGTTTGTAACCTATATAATAATTAACAAAAGAACTAGAATGGTTTTCGTACTACACAGTAGACGCATTAAAGTACGCTTACTTTCCATGGATATAGGGATAGGCAAGAAGAGTGATCCCAATTTAAAATATAGTTAAACTGACGAATATCAAAACAGCTGGTAACAATTATTAATTATATTAATAATGAACGCTAATTCTTAATTCACTTAAAAAAAAAATTGTATGATACTTTCAGATTCATATTATTTATGAACTGTTTTATAATTCGTTGTGCATGTTTGCAATCCATATAGCCAAATTAAAAAATAATAGACGTTTTAAAAAATTACACAAGTTATACTTCTGTAATTTATAGTACAAGAAGTTCAAACAGATTTTAAATTCTGTATGATTATAAATATAGCCTCACCCTCCGCATTAATAACGAAATGACAAATTACAAAGTCATTCGCGTTCAGGTGGTTTCTTCCAACAGAAAACTAATTATGAAGTTTATTGCGTGTTAAGGGTGCAGAACAGTGGTAGCTAAATTGAGAAATGCACAACAAAGCAAAATACATCTAAAAGGAACAATAACCACATAGTTTGTAGAATTTAGCCAAAGCAAGAAAATAATCCCGCAAAACACATCACTAAATAATTAAAGACGTACGTAACACAGACGTCTGTCTCATTCGTACTTAAAAGAGTTGTAAACTCGACCATAGCACCGCAACATTCTTGCCCTGTCCAAAGTACACTAAAATGTTCACCATATGAATTTTTAAAACCTTCTGATTCGATTTTTACCACAGTGCTAAATAAAAGATTTTATGACGTCTCTCCGTTCAATAGATCGATTAAAAAATGCTTTGCTCTTTTTTCGAACTGTTCCATTGAGAAGCACGTTAGCGATAATTAAATATCTGTTATAGCTCTAGGAAAATACGAGTACATGCAAATTTTAATACAGATCCCGTTAGAATTTGTGTTGCGCATACCTAATGAGCGATTTTATTTTACAGAGGACAAGCACGTCGTTGTGGGGCGAATGGATGGGGGTGATGCACGGGGATGAGATAGAATACGTGTTTGGCCATCCTTTGAACATGTCGTTGCAGTTTAACTCGAGGGAACGCGAGCTCAGTTTGAAGATAATGCAAGCCTTTGCCAGATTCGCTGCAACTGGGTAAGTGCTAATTAGAGAGCGCTCGAAGAGCTCAAGAGCTCAATTGGAGGCTTTTAGCTGGGAATCACTCGATACAGTCGAGGCTTTTTTAAATTATTACCTGCGGATTCGTGCTTATTTCATGATGCCGAGCTATTTTCGTTCGGTTCTCCGGTTTTACGACATATTTTTATCCCGGAATCAATAATACTGTTTAAAACACGGAACTTTAATAAATGTTCTATTGGATAACCGGTGATAAATGGGAAGAAATTGGGGTATTATTATTTATCGATTTTACGGAATATCGTTAATTATTTAATCTAAGCGCTCCAGAAATTGTTTATTGTTGAATGAAAGGTTAGTGAAATACTGCCCAAATAACATGAAACAAAACGTTTAAGATTTGGAGATTGTGCAGCTATAATATTACAAACTAGTTGCGTCATCATTAAATCTACAATTCTGGTGACGTTAAATACACGTTTATGACACTTACGGGACCGTTTTCACTTAATAAAATTTTTATTTCTTTGTCTGGTAGAATAAATAAGTTTCTTGACAGTTTTATGGATCTACTGTCTTCAGGTAATCCTTGTACACCGGTTGTTTTATTGTGATGAAAAATTTCAATCATCCTATGAACCTGAATATCTGGCCAGTTATTAGAGATCTAGTTTACTTTTGAAAATGTCTTGTTTATTTATTTGTTTACTTATTTATTTAATAAAAAAAAAACACATTTCTGCTGTACAAATAGAAGCAACTTGAATACCTACGGGCAGAAAATTATCAAGGGCAATTCGTTGATAATATCTTACGCACATGTAAAATAATGACAAAATATTTTAATAATTTTCACGATGTGTTAGTCAAGTTGTAAGTGTTTTTTATTTATTTATTAGAGTTTTAGATGACATCAACCACATAGGGTTTTTAGTCCCCGAAACTTTAATTGTACATAATCACAATAAATTAAGAGAGACAGTTTAAACTAGCTGATAAAATAGGGCGGCTTTATGGAAACAGATGACTTTATCTTCGGCAGCTTGGGTGTGGGCGAGGATATTTTCTAAAGTTCCTTCGAGACTGACTGTGGCGCGATGATCGCTAAACTTGGGGCAACCCTTGAGAAGGTATTGGAAATCTAACATTGAGAGCAAAAAGAAAGGCCTTGTTGGGTCAAACATCCAAGATGTGTCAAGCGAGTATGACCCAAACGAAGACGTGCAAGGTCGATGGAATGTTTTCTAGTATGCTTGTAGGTCATCCATTTTGCTACAGATAGTTTGATCGTCTAAGGGTGGATGTAGTGTTGTTTCAAGAGTTTTGCCATTGTAGCAGAAGCACTTCTTTGATAGTATCTTTAGCATCAGAGGGTGGAGTTTGGGCGACCATAGGGGAGGATGGATTAGTAATTGTACCTTTGGCAGCAATGTCGGCAGTTTCGTTACCTATCAGGCCTTGATGCGAAGGGACCCGGAAGAAGTGCATCCGTTTGCCAGAAGCGGATAATATGGAAAGTTGATCCTGGATTTGGCGAACCAAAGGACATGTGGAGTAGATTTGCTGTATCTTGTGCAAGGCGGCCGAAGAGTCCGTGCAGATGACGAAATTGGGTGAGGCATGAATAAATAGAGATTTCCATCTTAGAGCCATCACAATTGCGAAAAGTTCTGCTGTAAGAGTGGAACTTTCTACTGGTAAACGGTACTTATGTTGAGACGAAGCTGCTGAATTTTTAGCTCCCTCTGTATAAAGAACCAACGGGTGAGGAATACTCTTTAGTTGGTCGGTGAATCTGGTTGAAAGCGTGGTGTTGGGTTGATTATTATCAAACAGAGCAAAGTTGTAGTGAATTTTACTGCGAACCCACGAGTCAAATTGGTTGAGATGCATGGAAAAGAGGGGTGGTATGGAATAGTTCAGTTCTTCTATCAGCAGGGAGAGTCTACGGTAACCTGGCGGGCACCGGGAAGGGTTCAAATATTAACTGGGAGCGGCGGGTAAAAAGGACATTGTGAACTGGGTGGTTGACATGTGCAGCGATTCGTAGATTGTTTTAGAGAAAAAGAAGATTTCTTCGAAAAGAGAGGGAAAGTTCTGGAGTCAGGGTATACGGATTTTGCACAGGCGGTGTGAGGAGAGCTCCAGTCGCTATCTGCAGAGCTGCATTATGAATGGAATTCAGCGGTGCTAGGACGTGCGGTTTAGCGGAGGCATAAGCAATGGAGCCATGATCAAGTTTGGACCGGATTACACTTCGATAAATACGTAAAAGCATATCAGTCTGGCTCCCCATTGGTGACTCGCTAGTGTTTTTAGAAGGCCTAAGCCTTTGTGGCAGGCTTTAATGAGTTCTCGGATGTGGGCTTGCCAAGTGAGTTTCTGGTCAAAAAGGAGGCCTAGATACAAGCTGTAAGTGTGCCGAAGCAACATTAATGAACACATTGTATCACAGGTTCTACATTCAAAATACTTATGAATATGATTGCTAAATTTATAACCCACAGAATGCGGTGTATATGTTTATTCAGCTACCAATGTGGATTGGGGATGCTTGCAGACACAAAAATGTGTCTCTTAAAATGTTTCGAGTGGATTTTACAGGAACAAAATTTCTAGTCCAGTCAAGGAATAGTTTATTTTTTCAAATTCATATTCGTTTGAACAAATGCTTGAATAAAAAATTGATCGAGATTATTTCGATCGAACTTCCCTCGTCCATAAAGTACAGAAATTCAAATCCAACTGTTAATATTATAAGAATTGATTTTTCGAATTTTAGTTTTTATGATAACCCTGCGTGCTACTCATTGATTTTAGGGGAGCTTTTCCATTACAAAATTTTACATATTTGAGTCGAATTTTATGAATTCTGAAGTATGTTTCGACTTGCTTGGACGATTCTGATCGACGTGCTTGCCATATGCAGAACCGACTTAATTGAGGAAAAGGAGACGACTAGGTTAATTTTTCACCTTGCGGCGTTTGTAAATTCAAGAAATTCGTCAAAAAAAAATGACAATTTGGATACATGCATTGTAATACTAATTAATAATAACAGTAATGTATTCCCGAATTTTCGGGAAAATGGAGTGAGTCGTTCTTGATTTATAGGTGTGGCATTTATAAAAAATTGTGAGAGTGAAACAGAGAAATTAAATTTCAGAACATTCGGTTTTGCAGTTCCAGGTTTAATCAATAAAATGATTTCATTAATTTTTTTGAGTCACTATGTGTAAGCAAATCCAAAAAATATGAATGGAATCATAATTCACAGGTATAGACTCATCGTGTTTTGCAAATTTTATATAGAATTTATTCGGCTGAATTTTGTAGTGACGCCATCAATTTTTTGGGAGGATAAGCAAAAATGTTTTGATTAAAAATTTGCCATGCTTATGATAACTTTACTACATCTACATGAATTCAAAGCATTTGTTTGAGCAGATTCAAAATTAATTTGCAAAATGTTGTTTATAATTTTGATTTTTTCCAAAAATCTGGACGTTTCGGGTAAAAATGATTAGACAAATTATGATTAGCGTTTTACCATCTACGTGATATTCATAATACACATATAAAATTGACAACAATCGGTCCAGTAGTTTCGGAGATTATCTATCTAAAATCGTTAGGTACGGACGGCGGACAGACAGACAGAGCGACAAACATATAGACAGACAAAGAGACAGAGAGACAGACAAACAGACGGAAACGGACGGCCCATTTTTTCGTAATCTAGCGGCCATGATTCATCGAGAAAAAAAAGCAAAAGAAGAGTCTGACAAACCTGAAGCAGTAGCAACATTCTAATAGCACCAATGCCAAAATTTGGACTTGAAACTTATACAGCAAATGTCGATGAAATGTAAATCAATTTAACGGATTTACTAATCAAGAATATTACACAACTGTCCATCAGAGGTATACAAATGTGAACAAAAGTACACATGTAGAAAAAATTTTGCTTTGTTTGTCAATTTACGCATCTGGAAAATAACTTGTTACAATAGGAACTTTCCAAAAATGGATATTTGCGTGACCAGCTATCAGCTCTTTGACGAAAGTATCAAAATCATCCACTGTGCAGGTTAGATCTTGCTTAAACGTGATACAAAAAGAGATGAATACACTAAAGTGGTCGCATATGGATTCAAACAAATGTTGCTGAACTGAAGTGGAAAAAGGTTTTATAAAATAAAAGGAAGTATTAGAAAATTTAAAAGTTATGGAAATGATGTGAAAAAAATGTAAACCAATTAAATATACAGAACTTCATGAAACTTTATACGAAAAGTGCGAAATTCAGTTCCAGGGAAGAATTAATTAAAAAACAGTTATAAAGCATCTGTAATAGTAGATTACTTTCAAAACAATACACCCAAACAAGAATGGAATTTTATAAAACTGCAACCAGCATATGAGTTATTAGTCAACACTTAACGAAAATAAACAAATATTTAAATAACTGGCAAAAATCCATGATCTTCAACGGTACGCAACTTCGTCCTAATGTGCTGCAATGGACAATGTTCGAGTCAATTTCACGAATCTTTCTTAATATTCTTCTATGGAGTTCTGCTTGATTTTGAACACGCAGGAAACCGTTATCCTAAAGATCGACATAGGAAACCTAAAAAATTTTCAATAGACCGCATTTGAGGTATACTCCTGACAAACAAAAATGGCAGATCTAACTTCTAAAATCGGCATAGGGTTACCATAAAAATATGAAATTCTGTCAGTTAAGGTAAATAATGTTTATTATCCTTCTATTTATGGATAAACACCTGTACAGGAGCGAAATGAAGATGAGTCAAGCGAAAGGGTATTGAAAACAGGGCTAGACTAGATAGAAGAGACCGACGCGTTTTCCGAATATCATTGTCATTGTGTTATTACATATTTACATGCGTATATGCAAACAGCACTTTAAATGTCATTTGACCATTAGTGAACTCAGCTTACAGATTACTTAGAAAATATGAAATCTCTAAACAATGTTCGCAATGATT